TGTGTATGTACTGTGGGGAGCCAGGACACTTTGCTAAAGCCTGTCTGGCTCTGTTAAAAGGCAGAGCCCACCAGTAAAGATGGGACTACTGGTGGGCAGTAACTCTTCTTCTGCGAGCTCCCGCTGTGTACTTCAGTGTGTTGTATTTTTTTTTAACTCCGAGCAGTTTCCCATAGAAGCGCTTGTTGACTCTGGTTGTGAGCAGTCCTTGCTGGACCCTGACTTGGTTAAGAGATGGAAGATCCCAACCATTCGGCTCCCTACTCCGCTCTCTGTGTCCTCTTTGGACGGTCGGAATCTGACAACCATTACTCACCAGATCATCCTGTTGCAGTTACGAGTGTCAGGTAACCACACGGAGGCTTTGGCTTTTTATGTGTTTCCCTCTCTTCAGTCACCTCTGGTCCTGGGACACTCCTGGCTCTCCCTCCATAACCCCCACGTGAACTGGGAGACTAACAGAGTTGAGGAATGGAGCTCCGGATGCTCACAGACCTGCCTCCGCTCAGCCTCACCCACTCTCCGCAGCCCCGCCGCTCCTCCAGCGTAAAGGATAGACCTGTCCTCTGTGCCACCGGTCTATCACGACCTCAGCCTGGTCTTCAGCAAGGATCGGGCGTCATCTCTCCCCCCACACAGGCCATTCGATTGCAGCATAGATCTACTGTCCGGGGCTCCGCTTCCCTCCAGCCGCCTTTACCACCTCTCTAAACCAGAGAGAGAGAGAGAGCATGGAGAGCTACATACAGGAGTCCCTGGCCGCCGGCCTCATCAGACCCTCCTCATCACCTCTAGGAGCGGGTTTTTTTCTTTGTTCCGAAGAAGGAAGGAACACTCAGACCCTGCATTGATTGCGAACAAATACCCGCTGCCTCTACTAACATCCACTTTTGAGCTCATTCAGGATGCTAGCATCTTCAGTCGCCTGGATCTCCGGAATGCCTACCATCTGGTTCGAATTCGTCAGGGAGACGAATGGAAGACCCCGTTTAAGACTCCCATCGGACATTTCAAATACTTGGTGATGCCCTTTGGTTTAACTAATGCACCAGCCGTGTTGCAGTCCCTAGTGAACTCTGTTTTAGGAGACTTTCTAAATAAGTTTGTAACAGTTTATTTATATGATATATTGATTTTTTCTAACTCTTTAGAGCAACATCTAAGACATGTTAGTGTGGTGTTGCAGCTTCTCCTGGAGAACCGCTTATGTGTAAAGGTGGAGAAATGTGTGTTCCACGTCCCCAAGGTAAAGTTCCTTGGATTCATCATCGAGAGCGGGAGGATAAATGCAAACCCTGAGAAGGTCAGAACGGTCACTGAGTGGCCCACTCCAAGTTCTCGAAAGCAACTGGAAAGGTTCCTGGGCTTCTCCAACTTTTACAGGAGGTTTATAAGGAACTACAGCCAGACCGCCGTCCCTCTGACAAATCTGACCTCTGTTAATCGCCCTTTTGTCTGGTCCCCAGAAGCCAAGGCTGCCTTCCAGACCTTAAAGAGGAAGTTCACTAACGCCCCTGTGCTCCACAGACTTGATCCGCAATGCCAGTTCACCCTCGAGGTGGACGCCTCCGACACCGGCGTGGGCGCAGTGCTCTCTCAGGTATCTCCCACGGATAATAAAGTTCATCCCTGTGCCTTTTTCTCTCACCGTTTAACTCCCGCAGAGAACAGATATGACGTGGGTGATCAAGAGCTGCTGGCAGTAAAGCTCACTATTGAGGAGTGGAGACACTGGCTGGAGGGGGCAGAAACACCTTTCGTCATCTGGACTGACCACAAGAATCTGGTTTACCTGAGAGAATCTAAGACGCTTAATCCACGACAGTACAGGTGGTTTCTTTTCTTTTCACGTTTCAATTCCCAGATTTCCTACCACCCTGGGTCTAAGAACACCAAACCAATCGCCCTCTCCAGGTTGTACGCTCCAGATCAGGAGGTTGAGGCCTCCACAATTCTCCCCCCAGCATGTGTGGTGGGAGGAGTCACGTGGGAGATTCGGGATCAGGTGCTGGAGGCTTTTAAGACAGACCCTGGTCCAGGAAAGGGCCTGCCTGGCTGGCTTTATGTGCCACAGGGCTTAAGGGGCAAAGTCGTCCATTGGGCACACACTGGCAGTTTTTCCCTTCACCCAGGTGCAGATCGCACTATTGCCCTGTTGAAACAAACTTTCTGGTGGCCTGCCATGTACAAGGATGTGAAGGACTACATCACAGCATGCCACGTGTGTGCCCAACAGAAGGGGGACCATCGGTCTCCAGCAGGTTCATTAAACCCCCTTCCAGCTCCCTCACACCCCTGGTCGCACATAGCCCTGGATCTCGTCTGCGGGTTACCTTATTTCCATGGTTTTTCCACCATCCTCACCATAGTGGACAGGTTTTCAAAGGCTTGCCACCTCATACCCCTAAAATCTCTCCCTTCTTCCTCTGTTACCGCTAAGCTCCTCGTTAAGGATGTGTTCAGGTTACACGGGATTCCAGAGGAGATTCTCTCGTACCGAGGACCCCAATTCAGTGTGGAAGGAATTCACAGAGGCTCTGGGAGCTAAGGTCTCCCTCACTTCCGGATATCACCCGCTGACGAATGGACAATGTGAGCGCATGAATCAAGAGCTCGGGGCCATGCTGTGCTGAGTCTGCTCCTCAAACCCATCCTCCTGGAGCTCCCACCTCGCCTGGGTGGAGTACGCCCACAACTGCCATGTTTCAACCGCTACAGGTCAGTCCCCATTTGAAGCCTCTCTAGGTTACCAGCCATCCCTGTTTCCTTAGCAGTCCTCTGCCCCATCTTCGATCCCTCAGTTTCTCCGGGGGGCCAGGCGGGCATGGGTGTCCACCCGAGCCGCGCTGGACAGAACGGCTGACAGGAACAAGCAGCTGGCGGACCGCAGGCGACGTCTGGCCCCGGATTACGCTCCTGGTCAGGAAGTATGGCTCTCTTCTAAGGACATCCCGTTGAAGGTCACCTCCCGTAATTTCACTCCCAGATTCATAGGTCCGTTTAAGATCCTGGAGGTTCCCACTCCCTCCACGGTTCGACTGGAGCTCCCACGCTCTTTCAAAGTTCACCCGGTTTTCCACTTGTCCCTGGTCAAGCCTGTTGGTTCCAGCCCCCTCTGTCCTGTGCCGGCTCCCCCGCCGCCTGCAAGATACTACAAGGGGGGCCTGGTTTACACCGTCCGCAGGATACTGGATTTTCGGCCTCGCGACCGCGGCACCCAGTACCTAGTCGATTGGGAGGGGTACGGCCCGGAGGAACGTTCCTGGGTCTCCTGCTCCTTCATTGAGGATCCGTCCCTGATCCGGAACTACGAGGCTGCGTCTGCTGGGACGCCAGGTGGCGTCCGTTGAGGGGGGAGGTACCGTCATGTGCCGGGGTGAGTGCTCCTCTCATTGTTTGAGCTGCTGTGTTTCAGGAGAGGGAGGCTCCAGCTGCAGCTCATTGACAATCAGTGGGTCCAGCTATAAGAGGAGGAGGTGATCACTACTCAACGCCGGATGAGTAACTACAACTTGGTAGTTCCAGCCCTTTGTGTCTCCTGGTTAAACTAGTGATTTTTTGAATTTTTGAGTCTCTGTGGATTTACCCTGCTTACCTGTTCCTAGGATTTTTTTGGATCGTTGTGGACCTTACCTTGACTCCTCAGGATACTCCTTGGACTACTGAGGCTCCTCTGTTTCTCCTGTGGCTCCTCTGTTACCTTTCCACAGTCCCGCTGGATTACTCACCTCTGCTGGATTACTCACCTCCACTGGATTACTCACCTATGCTTCCTAAATTTTCTGGACGCAGCACTCACCGTTCTCCTCTCCTCCCTTCCAGCCCGCTCTCCTGCCCTCCTCGCGCTCCCTCTCCTGGACACCCCCCTTCCTGGATTCACCCTGGCACTCCACCTACCTTCCCTAACTCCTCAGCTCCCAGCTCCCTGTAAGTCTTAACTCTGCACCTAACTAGTTTTGACTTGCCTCCCTGTACTCACCTGCTCCTCTGCTCTCCCCTCCTCAGACGCTGCTGTTCCGTTGCAATCCCACTGGGCCTTATCCAGTGCGTCCTCAGTTCTCGATTATTTAAATAAAAGAATACTTCATTTTTACCTGTTTGGTGCGTGAGTGGTGATTCTGCATGTCTTGGGTTAAACCCGTTCCCAAAACCATGTCAGGACGTATCCAAGCATTTTGGGGGCCGAGGCAAAATAGACCCCTGCCAGGTATTTTAAGTTGAAGTGCTATCTGTTTTTATATTAGACGTTTTATATTTGCAATAAAGTCCTAAAGTGAAGAATTTGTTATTTATTACTTGATTGTTCAAGCTACCTCACAGAAGTGATCTGTTGTTAAAAAATTAAAATAAAAATGTAATTAAATAAAAAATAAGGAACATTCTGGAACTGTTTCTTCCTTTTCTTTTTTGTTTTTTATGTATTGAAAGTATTGGATCGGGACTCGGTATCGGCAGATTCTCGAAATCAAATGACTCGGACTCTAGGGCAAAAAAAACCTGATCGGGACCTCTCTAACATTTACTGTTTTGTCGCATTTTAACGAGCTTCCTCCGCGCCGTGATTTTGGCTTACGATACAAACTGTACAGCACTCTCACGGAGTAAAGGTTTGGCAGATATGTTTGTTTACATTTTTGCCGCTGCACGCCTTCAGTGCTAGGGAAAGGAAGGGAGGGGCCGACGCGATGCTGCTGTCAGGGTATCTCTGGGCTCCACAGTAGCAGCGAAGGACGGCTGGTTTGACCGGCTCTGAGAGGCGTTAATCAGAATTTGCAGATAGCGTTTTTTTCCTTCTACCAATCGCATAGTGATGTCTGGGCTTAAAAGCAACTCATTAGATTCATAGTTATTTCTAAAAGTAATGCATTACCATAAATAGTAATGTGTTTACCAACATTCGTTATGTATATTACTGATTGCAAAAATACCCCTAGGTATTTTGTCTTCTCTTTTTTTACTGAATATTTTTATTTTATATATTTCTGGTTTGTTCACTGCAGATTCAAGGAAGAGAGAGGAGACGGATGAGAAACCTCTGCTCTTACATTTCCACAACCATCCAATGAAAGACGGAAGTGTCCCAACCAGCAGCTTGGCTGGGCAGATGACAGCAAAAGTTGGTGGAGGAGCAGAAAGTATCAAGAACCTAGATCTGGACCCTAATGAAAAGACATCTGATTCTTCAGAGATTGAAGTTAGTGGAGAAGATGAACATGATGTGAATCTAGACTGTGAGTGTTCAGACTCTGGGCCTGAAACTGGAAAGGGAGACCATGGCTGTAATGAGAACAAGTCTTCGGAGTCTGATATTAAGACGGTCAACAAATCATTTAGCTGCCCTGTGTGTGGTATACAGTTCCTCCACAAGTGGTCTCTTCAGAAACATGTGAGAGTGACAAGTCATTCAGCAGTAAAGTCTTCAGAGTGTTCGGTTAATACAAAATTTGAGAAAGAGAAGCAACATGGAGGCTCATGCAGAAAATTCCAGAAACAACCGAAATCATTTAGTTGTGATGACTGTGGAAAAAGATTTAGCCAAAAGTCCAGTTTAACCCGTCATATGAAAGGCCACACCGGGGAGAAGCCTTTTGCGTGTGACCTCAGTGGACAAAGATTTAGCCAAAAGAGACATTTAAACACACGCATGAGAGTCCACACAGGAGAGAAGTCTTTTGCCTGTGAGCTCTGTGAATACAGATGTACCCAAAAGGGAAGTTTAAACTCACACATGAAGGTCCACACAGGAGAGAAGCCTTTTGCCTGTGAACTCTGTAGACAAACATTTAGCCAGAAACGTAGTTTAATCGACCACATGAGAGTCCACACAGGAGAGAAGCCTTTTGCCTGTGAGCTCTGTGGATACAGATGTACCCAAAAGGCACATTTAAACGATCACATGAAAGTCCACACAGGAGAGAAGCCTTTTGCCTGTGAGCACTGTGGACAAACATTTAGCCAAAAGACAAATTTAAACAGTCACATGAGAGTCCACACAGGAGAAAAGCCTTTTGCCTGTGAGCTCTGTGGACAAAGATTTAGCCTAAAGACAAATTTAAAGAGACATACAAGCATCCACACAGGACAGAAGAATTTTGCTTGTGAGCTCTGTGAATACAGATGTACCCAAAAGGCAAGTTTAAACTATCACATGAGAGTCCACACAGGAGAGAAGCCTTTTGCCTGTGAGCACTGTGGACAAAGATTTAGCAATAAACATAATTTAAAGAAACACATGAAAGTCCACACAGGTGATAAGCCTTTTGCCTGTGAGCTCTGTGAATACAGATGTACCCAAAAGACACATTTAAACGATCACATGAAAGTACACACAGGAGAGAAGCCTTTTGCCTGTGAGCTCTGTGGACAAAGATTTAGCCTAAAGACAAATTTAAACAGTCACATTAGAGTCCACACAGGAGAGAAGCCTTTTGCCTGTGAGCTCTGTGGACAAACATTTAGCCACAAGACAAATTTAAACAGTCACATAAGAGTCCACACAGGAGAGAAGCCTTTTGCCTGTGAGCTCTGTGGACAAAGATTTAGCCATCATACAACTTTAAATAATCACATGAGAGTCCACACAGGACAGAAGCCTTTCGCCTGTGAGTTCTGTGGACAAAGATTTAGCCGTCGTACAACTTTAAAGAATCACATGAGAGTCCACACAGGACAGAAGCCTTTCGCCTGTGAGTTCTGTAGCAAAAGATTTAGCGAAAAGATAAGATTAATCTGTCACATAAGAGTCCACACAGGAGAGAAGCCTTTTGCCTGTGAGCTCTGTGGACAAAGATTTAGCCAAAAGACAAATTTAAACAGTCACATGAGAGTCCACACAGGATAGAAGCCTTTCGCCTGTGAGCTCTGTATCAAAAGATTTAGCTAAAAGATAAAATTAAACCGTCACGTAAGAGTCCACACAGGACAGAAACCTTTCGCCTGTGAACTCTGTGTAAAAAGATTTAGCCAAAAGACAAATTTAAACAGACACATGAGAATCCACACTGGCTTTTCGCCTGTGAGTTCGGTGGAAAAGATTTACCCAAAAGATCAATTTAAATGGTCACAAAAGAGTCCATAAAGGACAGAAGCCTTTTGCTTGTGAGCTCTGTGGATGAAGATTTAGCTGAAAGAAAACTTCAAACGATCATCTAAGCATCCACTAGGGCTGAACGATCTATTGCAGGGGTCTCCAAAATTTTTTGGCCCGTGAGCAACTTTTACACAATGAAAGTACAGCAGAGTTACTGCCATATGATTTATTTACATTGATACTTTCCATGTGTGAATGTGCTTATGTAAAAAATGCTATACTTACTATATTAACAAGCATTGTATTCACAATGATTTACTGAATAATTTTTATGGTTTTTTGGTCATGAGAGTTAAGTTTTGCTGCGTTTATTGCTGACAATATTAAGGTTGGAGGTTTATCCTTTTTTTCTGCATCTTGTAGGTTTTTTTCTTTGCAGATCTGAAGGCTGTATGTTACACAGAGCAGAGAGACAGAGAGCAAGAGACCAGAACCAAAAGAAATGATCACATCACACCAATCTTAAAATATTTACAATGGCTTTCATTAACTTACAGGATTGATTTCAAAGACCTTTTACTTACTTTTAAATCATTAAATGGCCAACGACCTCTGTATATAGCAGAGATGTTTGAAATGTATCACCCTTCTAAATCACTTAGGTCAGCAGTCTGTACGATACTGCGAAATTTGGTATTGATCCGATACCAAGTAAATACAGGGGATAGTATTGCCGATACCGGTACCAATACAGATACTTTTTACTACTAGTCTAGAACATCTAGTTTTGTGGGATTTATTAAGATAAATAGGATCAATAAAACTTGAGTTTTCAGACAACATTCTTATATTGATGATGGAGAATCTTGTCTGAAAACTCAAGTTTTATTGATTACTTAAAAATTTTGTAATTTTTCCTTTAATAAATCATGTGTACAATGATTATAAAATGCAGGGAACATTTTCAGGCAAATAAAGTTTTCATTAGGAAACTCAAAATGGTATAACATGGTTAACAATCTCAAGTTTTTTTCTATTTGAAATCTATGAAGCTGTGTGAAAAAATTCGAAACGGCGATCATTTTTCGGTCTGCCATCATGCAGCCACAACAGTGCTTTCTGCTGTTCTATGCTTGTCTCGTGCTGGTGCGCTTTTACTTGTTTTGTAATTTAACGGCCATCGACATAAATATACTGGACATCTCCTTTCCATAGGCTCCAATATCACGTTTTTGAGGCCAAATGGGAGGTGGCCACCACCGCCATTTTGACTGTGTCACAGGTTCCGTCTAGCCTAGACAATTCCACAAAAGGGAAGAGAGGAGGAGCTGAGGGTGGGGCTGTAAGGCTGGGATCAACTGACGACACCCGGTCGAACTAGCTACAAGCTAACCCTGGCTAACCCAAAGCTAACACGGAGGTGGGAGCTAAGCTAACGGAGGTAGCAACCTAGCTACAACCGGAGTTAACTGTGCACAACACCAGAGCTTCTGAGTCAGAGATACGCCGGGCTGACCGCTGGGTGAAACCGTGTGGAACACAGAGGTCTCCGAGACCTCCACAAGCTGGCAGCCGCACAGCAGACAAGCGCCGCTGCGATCTGAGATGCGCAAAGCTGCTGCTGGGGAGAACCGGGTGGAAAGGTTTCCATCCCAGAGCTCCACAAGCCGGCAGCCCGCGCATCAAACAGAAGCCACGATCAGACAGAGATGCGCCGAGCTGCCGGGAGACCCAGCCGGCATTCCGCGCAGCAAACAGAAGCCGCGATCAGACAGATGCGCCAAACTGCCGGGAGACCCAGCCGGCAGCCCGGTGCATCAAACAGAAGCCGCGATCAGACAGAGATGCGCCGAGCTGCCGGGAGACTCAGCCGGCATTCCGCGCAGCAAACAGAAGCTACGAAGCCAGGGGAGAAACGGGTGGAAAACATCGGTCTCCCGAGAGCTCCACATGCCGATAGTCGGAACCAAGCTCCACCAACATGTTATATTTCAACCCATTTTCTAAAGTGCAGCATTATTTCAAATGCACTGGGTTTTACCCTATTACATTTAAATTTCATGGTTAAACAGTACATGTTAAAATCTAAGCTCAGCTCGGCAGTGACCTAAAATACATAAATATAATTTTACTTACTGAAAAAAATGAAGTGGAGACTCCTTGGACGCTCTATTAGTGCAATTAAGGCCACAGAAAGTCATTTTGTCCAACAATTGCACTAAAAATATCCAAAATAGAATACACAAACACAGAGACTCAAAATGCCGGAGCAGTTTCCAAGCCAGACCGAGGCTCTACTGAGGCCTTTCCACGGAGCTAGCTCTGTGGTCACGTGGGTCTGAGGCGGCGGTCACGTGTGTTGGATGCTCATTAATTATACAGAATTTTTGGCTTTTAATACACTTAAACAGAAGAGTGAGAAAATAAACCACCCCCCTCAGAGTTGTCATGAGTCTAAACTAGATAATTTAAACAAAAAACATGTCTTGGTACCAGGCTGTAAACATGTTTATTTCTGCTGTGAAATTGGTATTTTTAACATGGGAGTCATTGAGGATTTGCTCGCTTCTGACACCAGCCCCCAGCGGATGAGGGTGGAACTGCAATTTTTGGTACTTCCGGGTTGGACTCCATTTTAGAGCTCCATTGTGGGGGCTTGGTAACGGCGGACTGCCCCGTTGACTGACATCCGTGGCGTTCCAATCACAGTGCTTTACTGGTTTGTTGGGCCAATCACAGCGTAGGCGGGATGTCCCTGCAAACAAACATGGCTGCCGCTCGAAACGGTCCAGTCACAGGTATCAGCCAGGTAAACTACAAATCAAGATGGCTGCCATTCTGTAGTGGTCCAATCATGGCGCTATATAGATTTCATGGGCCAATCGCAACACCAAAGTAGGCGGGATATTATTGAAAAAAAAACGTGACTAGTCGGCGGTCAGCCACTCGTTTGAAACGGCTCTGGCATCAAGTTTGGACTATTATGACTTTAGCTTTTGTTTGAGTCAAGATCAGATAGAAGTACAAACGTTTAATTAGGAAAAGGATGTGTTTTGCATCTTCTTTGACGGAGTTTGGTGGACTGCCTTGTTGACCGACATCTGTAGCGGTGAGTACGTCACGGCTTGCCAGGCTAGAAGAAACGGAATCGATACCATCACGCAGGTATCTAGTAAATACTCAATATCAACGTTAGATCGATACTATTGATATTTTAGATTGATCCGTCCAGCCCTAGTCAGCAGATAAATCCCAACTGCTACAACCCAGAGCCCGCACCAAGCATGGAGAGGCTGCCTTTAGCTGCTATGCGGTCCGTCTCTGGAACCGTCTTCCAATAGACATTAAGGCCTCTCCCACCATTTCCATTTTTAAATCCAGATTAAAAACTAAACTTTTTCATGATGCCTTCCATTAACCTATCCTTGCATCTGTGCTCTACTAGGTGTTTATCTATGGCGCGGTATGGGGGCCAAATTTAAGACTACTGCCCAGCAGCAGGAGGCTATATAAATTCCGAAGCAAACTACTGATCTGATTAATGATAAGCTGGCACCGGTAACTGAGAGGCTGGCGCTGCTTACTGAGGAATAGCACCTTTACCGGCGTTGTTACTAGATATGCTAGGAACTAGCAGCCCTCAGCTGGTCATTGACTGATTCAAACACTCCCTCAGCTGTCTATTAACATGGATAGGCTAGCGTTAGCCTGGATGGGCTGGTGTTAGCATTGGAGTGGCTATCCATTAGCATGCCTAGGCTGGCCACTAGCTGGATGTCCCACCTCCTCGATGGACCATTAGCATGGATAGGCTGGCGTTAGCATCAGAGTGGCTAGCCATAAGCATGCTTAGGCATTCCACTAGCTGGATTTCCTACCCCCCTGACGGACCTTAAGCATGGATAGGCTGGCATTAGCATTGTAGAGGCTAGCCATTAGCATGTCTCGGAGAGTCACTAGTCAGTGACAAGTCAAAGTGAATACTTGTAATAAAGTGTAGTTACTGTGTAAAGCAGTATATACTAGGAATGATTAATAAAAATAAAAACTAGAATTGAACCTGGGTTACATGTTAATAACAATTTAAGAACTCAGAAACAATAATACACTAACTTACTAAGTAATTACCATGTAAGTACTAAGTAATTAGAGCACTGTAAAAGAAAGCGCTACCAATAATTTTTCTTAATATGCTTTTATTTTTTTGTGCTATGTTCTGTATATTCTTTGATTTTATTTTACACAACATGATGTGACATTGTAACTATTTCATTTCACTTGTGATTGTTTTAACTATGTGAAGCACATTGGGCTACCGTTTTGTGTATGAAAGGGGCTATATAATAAACTTGACTTGAGAGAGAATTTACAATCATGTTTTGTTACTAAATGAGACACTCAGCTGAAACTGGGGGAAATATATGATGAATCTAAATCACAGGAGATGTCCAGAGTTTTTACACGCATGAACCCCCCACCCCTTAAGAGAATTAATGGGGGGGTCTTAAACAGGGCCAACATTTATTCTAAAAATTTTAAAATACGAGGTCTCCCGCTATCTACACATGAGCACTCTAGCTAGCTCACCCTGGTCTTCATGGAAGCGCGAGGGTGGGCAGATTAAGCATATGTGCAGAAGGACATCTAAACCAGCAAAGAGAGGGGGCTAGCCCCAGCTCCTCCTGGGGTGCTCCCAAGAAGCCTGATACACAGGCAACACAAACCTTCATAGCTCCCAATACTAATAAAACAACGAAAGGATCCTAGCCCAAAGGGGCGGGGATCATAAGTCTACAAGGGAGCCTCATACTAGACTACGTGATGGAACATCCGCAATGACGTTGTCAGAGCCCCTTTTGTGCCGGATGAATGCTCGGGAAAGATCTGGAGCAGCTAAAACAGGAGCACAGCAAAGGAGGTTTTGCAACGACACAAAAGCTGACTGACATTCTGGGGTCCATGTGAAAGGAACACGAGTGCTTAACATGTTAGTGAGAGGCTGAGACACAACTGAGAAATTCCGACAGAAACATCTATAAAAACCAGCCATACCTAGGAATCGTCGGAGCTCACGACGGGTTGTTGGAGGAGGAGATGTTGGAGGAGGATAAGAGACCATGGCCTGGATCTTATATGATAACGCACGTACCTTACCATGGCCTACTTCCTTTCCTAGGTAGCGGACTGTGGCTTTCACAAACTCACACTTGTCTAAATTCAAAGTGAGTTTAGCTGATCTCAGGCGCTCGAAGACGAGTTTCAGAGTCTGAATATGATGCTCCCATGACGAAGTGTAGATTACTATGTCATCTAGATAGGCACTACAGTTTGGAACATCACACAAAACCTGATTCACAAGCCTCTGAAAAGTAGCAGGGGCATTTCTTAAGCCGAAGGGCAATACCGTGTACTGTAGGAGGTTATCTGGAGTCACGAAAGCAGAGACCTTGGATGCAAAAGGGGTCAACGGGACTTGCCCATAGCCTTTCAAAAGATCAAGTCTGGTGACAAAAGAGGCGGCACCCACGCTATCGACACAGTCGTCCACACGTGGCAAAGGGAACGAATCTGGAACAGTAACAGTGTTTAATTTACAATAATCTGTGACGAATCTGTACCATCGGGTTTGTTCTCTAACAAACAGGGTGAACTCCGTGAGCTGTTACTGGGCTTAGCCAAGCCGTTCTCTAGTAAAAACTTTACTTCTTGTTTCATTAACTCACGCTTCTGAGGACTGGCGCGGTAGGGGTGCATCTTCACGGGGGTTGAGTCTGACAGCGAAATGCCGTGGGTGATGAGATGAGTTTGTGTTGGAACGTCTGAAAACGGCTCAGGAAAAGAACAAACCCAGTCAGAAAAAGTGGCGTAAAATAGCATTGTAGGTTTTGTTAATTCCCAGATGACCGGACCACTCACTTTCATGAGCTAAGGCGAGAATATGGTTTCTGAATCTTTCCGAAACTACAATTTGTTTAATCTGGACCCATTAAGAGTCGTTGGCAGAGGGCGGAGTCCAGCAGCGGAACAATATGTAATCATCAGTCACATAGGTAGTCGGACATGGAGGGGACGACGGAGCAACACCAACCACAGAAAAATAAGGGTCTAAGGTTTTATCTGTTTTCTGAGCATTAGCCAATGTCTCACAAGAGATAGGTAAGTCCGTTAAAGGACCTCCAGCGGCCAGATCGGACGGCGTTATTACAAGATCTGGACCGGGAACATTTTCGGACAAGAGAGGGAATAACACTGAGCCTTTAATGGAGGCTTCTGGATCTTTCTTAAGCTGAGCTCGGGTAGAATACAAGCAGGCAACAAATCTGAGTCTTCCCCAATTTCAGGGGAAGAAAAGAGTTCAGGAGGAGGTAAAACTACTCCCCCAGCAGCATCATTTCCCAATATCAAGTCCACACCTTGAGTTGGTAACTCATCTAAAACGCAGACCTTCAGGTCCCCCCGTAACCAAAGGACAGGTCAGGCGAAGATGATGAACCTCAGCTGGAACGGCACCCATTTCAATACCCTGTAGTAAGACTGAGAAGCCAGCATGGCTAGCTGTAGAAAAGGGTAACACCTTTAGTTTGATTAGCGTCTGTGATGCACCCTTGTCTCGTAAGATCACCACTTCCTGGATGATTTCACAGTTTCCCAGTGACACAAGCCCAGAGGATAAAAAAGGTTTAAAACTAGAGTGAGGTGTTTCACATTTATCCACTGATGTAGGTTTTTTCGAACACAAGGCTACTTTCTTGGCTGTAGGAGAGGTTTTACTTCTCCTATTTTTCTGTTGAAGCATGGGGCAGTCTCGGATGAAATGTCCTCGTTTATGACAATAAAAACACTCTGGCGAGATCTTTGGGCCAGGCAGACTAACAGATGGTCTCACCACTTGGATAGAGTCAGGCTTAGACTCTCGGAACTGATGAGTCAAGGAGAACTCATCCGCGAACAGGGCGGCAGAAGAAAGAGAGGAGACTTTTTGCTCATTCAAATATAAAGCAAGCCTCTCAGGCACATGTCGTTTAAATTCTTCCACCAAAATCAATTTTTTTAGGTCAGCCAAGGAGTTTACTCCCGAAGCTGAACACCATTTCTCAAAGAGAACAGATTTAAGGTGAGCATTAGAGCTGAAACAACTAATCGATTTTATCGATTTTAATTGATCATTTAAATAGTTAACAACTTTTTTAGTCATCGATTAGTTGTTTAATAATCACATTTTACCGCATAAAGTCTATTTTTACCATAATCTGACATCGGTTACAATCTGTTAAATTTGCCGCCAGTGTGTGGCAGTAATGAGCCACTGATCACCAGTGGAGCCGTAGAAGAAGAAACGAGCCAATAAGTGCCCTCGGTTTTCATGACGTATCACGTTACTGACGCTCATCTTGCTGTGAGAGATGGCGGAACAAGAAGAAATACGGAAGAAAAATAGAAGCGACAAAACTGAAGAGAAACCCCGGACAAAAACCTCACGAGTATGGGAGCACTTCACTCTAGATGTCATGAAAAGACGAGTGACCTGCAAAATATGCAAAAACCATCTAGCATGGCACGGAAGCACGACGTCCCTAAGTGAACATTTGAGATGAAAACATGTGGGGGCTGATGCAGCAGAGGAAGAGCCAGCCCGGTAAGTAAAAGAAAATAAGCTAAATATAGTGGTCCATCACTACACGCAGATCAAATTTGGGACTTGTAACTCTTGCGTGTAACCCTTCTTTTTTCAGAACAACCTCAGCTTTCAGTGTATGGTTTGTATTTAGAATGTATTTCTATTAAAGCCTTTAAAAAATCAGCTTAAAAGTGAAAAAAGCAAAAAACGGATTAGAATTTTTTTTACATTTATTACTGAACAGGAACTTCAAAATTACTGGGCGAACAATTTGGAATGAACAATTTAAACTTTGATCTGTAATGCATCTATTCTTAACAAAATTTGAACATTGGTATCTTTTTTTAGCAGTTTTAAGACCATTTATTTTTTGTAAACTTTCAGACGTTTTTATTTGATGTGGTAGACCTTGAAGCAGTTTCTCTCCAGCTGCAGGCAGAGTCCTGCACACCTCACACTGCCATGGGGTGCTTCTCTGGCACATCGTGCACTGCTATACCAAAAACTTTTGTTTTAGCAAATGTAATTATTTATGGTAAAAAGATAAATAATGCTGGAATGAAGCTGAATCTTACAATTAGCAAATCGTTGAGGGTTGTTCAAATAAAAAAATTAAAGACTGAAAAAACATTCATACCCTGGTTCACCGGAGATCTATCCTTCTTCGTGGTCACTGTCTTCAGATATAAGCCTTCTGGGACACCTAAAAGATCGTGTTGATTTTCTTTGAGGCATTTCCATAATTTCATGCCGGCTTTTTATGCTGATTAGCTTCCCCGTTCCGTTATCCGCTTTCACCGCGGCGCTGCGCTCCGTTTCTATCAGGCTGTACAGCAGGATTTCCCCTCGTAACGATATTTCCCTAACTCTGATTGCTTCATGCTATAGATCGTTGGAAAGCTGCTTTTATGTACTTTTAGGAACCGTTGGAATTATTTGAATTTGATCAGCCATTCAAAAGTTATAAAACGGACCATTTTGGATGACAAACTCAGCACGTCTCTGAATCTGTGTTGTGATTCGGTGCGCTCAAGACAGGGAATCCTGGTGGCTACCGTAATGTATTGTATATGCACGAAAAGCCCCATTTTTAATCTTTTCAGCACTTTTGGAATTTTAATGATATCTTGAACGTTTCAGCAATTATGGTAATGAGAAGTGCGCATGTCCAATCCCATCTGCGGCCACAGGTTGGTAAGAAGAATATTGGGGCATTAAGGGGTGCGGCGGTCAGGGCTAGGGGGCCCCCCCAACACAAGTGGGCCCCAGACGGCCGCCTATCTATGCCTAATGGTAAAACCGTCTCTGATCGTAGAGGGAGATTAATAACCTCTCTAAAAGTTAACCCACGTCTTTCACCACAGTTTCTGCTCGTTAAACAACAACAGACATCTACAGCTTATAAGCTTGACTCTCTCATATTCCAGTTAGAACTGACAAAGCTCCTCAGATTAAAAGCCAAACTTCTTCAAGAACCAAAGAAGCCTAATTGCCTTCATTTGAACCCTTTGGATTACCATGACCTGGATGACGGGCAACCTTCAACATCAAACTGAAACATTAGCTTCTATTTCGGGTTAACGTATGAAAGTCCTCTCTGCAGCAGCCTCTTCGTGAGCTCACCACAACTCATGTTAATGCAGAAGCATTTGTTATTCCAGTCCCTGTGGCAGCGGATCGCGGATTCAGCCAGAACATAAAACAGCAAAAAGTCTGTCTGAGGCAAAGTGAACCTCACAGCTGTAGATGTTTCA